GTTGTAATATTTGTAGTATTTACTGTAATGATAATTTATACATTCATCTTCAGCTACAGGGGCGGAATTAGCTAAAGGAAAGTTTTTTTTTTTTTTTATTATTCATGCTAATTACCTTTTTGAAAAGAAGTAATTCCTAAAATAACTGATAATACAATCAGTGTATTTAATTTCATTTTTTATTATTATAGATGATCTTTATGTTTTAGATCGAAGTCTGGCGGGAAATTGGAAAATTCGGCCGCCACACAGATGCAAGCATTCCTTCCAAAGCGACCGCAGCCTTAGAAAATGGAATGGGTTGGCAAAATGAAATGCTTTTTTAACGTTGTCATCTCCGAGTCAAAATTGTACAATTTATTCAATGGTTTCCCGCTAATGTATCACGGCCGAGACGAATTTGTTTTTTTTTCCTACCTTGTTATATAAAAGGTTATAACCCCATCAAAATAAATAAATTCTGTGTATATTAGATCAAAATTTTCTTGCCTACATTTTTGTTTTCTTTCTTAAGCGTAATGGGACAAAATGTAAAAGTGAAATTGTATTGTCATAATGAAAAACAAATAAAACCACAAAGCCTTTCACGGTATCAATCATCAAGGTGATGGATTTTTTTGATGCGTCAAGCTTGTATCTGAAACGAGAGAATCGTTTTATGGGTGTTCTGCTTGGCGGACGCTAAAAGGAAAGCGCAATAGCCCCAACAACTTGCATTTTTTATTATTATTTTAAGCATGCATGCATGAGTATATTGTCAATCGAGAAAAAAGATGACATGTTGCTAACCATGAAATTCTTTTTTCGAATTTTTTCATTTCGTAAACAAAAAAAAAAATAATATTTAAGCATGTAAATGTCAAGTGAGAAGGTGTGTATACAAACAAATAATGCGCTTTCGACTCCATGATCAATAATTGACTTCCCCCAACAATTGTTTCTCGAGAGAAAAAAAATTACACGCTCGAATTTGGAAAACTGAATTTATTATATATTCAATGCCTTCTTATTTTACATATAGTTCATTGATACGCATTATTTAAATCAATTTGAAAACTTTTTTTTTTTTGGTTTGCTGCGAGTTTTTCTAAAAAAAAAAGCTTACAAAAAGGATCTTGTCTAAAAATAACTATAATAATAATAAAAAAAAGATTTTAACCTGCTTTTGCAGATCTACTTGTGATTTAAAATTTTGACAATCCGTTAAACTTTATTTTAAATTAAATTGGTCATCCATCACAATGTGAAGAATGCAGGGTTCCATTTATGGAATAAAACGCGAAACGATTTTGACTATCGCGTTGTTTCTCTTTGAATTCACGTCGAAAATTGAACCTTGGCATAGGTGATTAATCGATGACGCATAAAAATCGAATGTACACGTAAGCTGGGGGCTTTAACCGATCAGCGATCAGCAGTCTTTTACTATTATGGTAATTGTGGTAACCTTCAGAGGAAACTTTCAAAAGATTTTCATCCCACAATTGGTGTTATTAGAATGTCTTGAGTTTTATATATTAAGTTTAGAAATCCTTGTTTCAAAGACCTCTTTTTTTATTATTCTTTTGTGATTGAAAAAATTTTTTTTATTTCCTAGGAAACTTTTTGTATAATATATACTGTACATCCTTCCTTTTTTTTTTTAACAAGTAAAAAAAAAATAACATTCGCCCAGTATGATGCACCCATACTTTGTCGCTAGTATACTCGTCGGTTCCGTTGCGGTAGCCTATGGTGCTTATCTCATTTATAAAGAGATATCAGAGGAAGCTTTATATGTTCCGAATGAACTTGCATACACGCGTGGTCGCAAAGGTGAAGAAGAAGAATCGTCTGTTGTAGGATCAGAAAAGCAAGGATTGAGGAGGAGAAGGAAGTCAAATTCGCAAAGTATCGTAAGTTTTAAACCGGTTGGATAGTCCTTTTATTAGGAACGAAATGGACCTTTAGCAATCGTGTTGATCCATTGTCACTAATTGAACAAAACCACTTTTTAACATTTTAGGAAGAAGACGAACAAGAATTGTTAGATAGATATTCATACTTGAATGCTTTAGAACAAGAGATTGAACGTAAAAAGCAACAATTGGTTGACGAAGAGCGTATATTGTCGGAAAAGGAGCAAGAAATCCAGAATAGAAAACAATATTTACAAAGCGTGAGCTCACGATCCAGTTCAAATACGGATCTTTCACCTCTCGTCAGCCAACGTAAAGCTTCCATCGCCTCTTCAAACACTTCAACTGGTGAAATCATTACGAATGAACTCCTTGATCAACCGGTATTGATCCAAGGAACATTCCCAGTGACACCGGATCCACCAAAATCTGTTATTTCCATTCAAACCGTTTCTAGTGTCGAGGAAAGTCAACCAATAAACAAATCGTCGGATGCGGCAGCTCAATCAATCCTTTCTCAACATTTATCTAATATTAGTTATCAACAACAATCTCCATCCGATCCCGACCCTTCCACCTTCATTCAAAATTCTGATCTTGCTGCTAATTTAACAAAGATAAATCCATCTTCCAGATCCGAACAGAATGTATATCAATTAAATAACCCTCCATACGCCGCGAAGTCAATTATATCGGAAGAAACCTGGTCCGAAATAGATTCCGTGCTTTCGGAGAATATTGAAAGTGTTATGTCTTCAGCTTTAGATATAGACATGGATGAAGTAGACGTCATTGAGCATTAAGTTCAAATGCGTGAGTTGTATATATATTAACATTGAGTTTGATTTGTACTTTTTTTTTTTCGTTTATTTTTGAAGAACATTATTTAAAATGATTTAATCATAGTTGGATGAGGAGGAAGTGAAGCAAATAACAAATGATTTCAAAATTTTCTTGGCGGAATAATAATTTTTTTTTTAATTTATTTTTTATTTTTTTTTTTTTTGGTTGTTTTAAATAAATTTATCCGTGTTTTCATCATCTTGCATAATTCACATCAATCATTATTTTGACAATGTACGTATTTCAAAAAATATTTATTAATTCTTTACCTCATCATCTTAACAGTATATTTCCTCGCCAAATTTGGGTGCAATTTCGAAAATACATTTTCAGTTATGAAAATTTTTCAGAATATTAATCCATAAGTTTTTGTATAAAGGTTACCGACAGTAGCCTAATAGTATTTATAAATTTCCGTTTATGGTATTGGGATCAAAAATATAAAGCTCAAGCTAACTTATTAAATCAAAGCTTAGCCTTATAAATAAAACTGGTCCATAAAAAAAAAAAAAAAAAAAAAAAAAAAATTATTAAATTATTAGAAATTAGTAATAGTCTTTTAAGTTTTGAAACCTTAAATAATTAAGGGATTAGAGAGAAGTTTAATTATTGGTAGAGTAATAAATTAGTTTTTTTATTCTAAAATAAGGAATAATTTTGCCTGAATTCTTTTTTTATAAATCAATTTGGTATTAAAATTTATTATTAGTAAAAAAATTATAATTTTAAGTATTATTAACAAAATTTTTTTATCATAATTAATATATTATGCTTTAATAAATAAATAAAAATATCAAAAAAATTATAAAGATTAAAATATAATTGCTAAAATATTAGCATTTTTAATTTTTTTAATATTATAATATAATATTACTGAGTTTATTGATTTAATTATTTTATTTAATTATTAAATATATTCTATTTATAGTTACTAAATAACCTAAATTATCCTTTCAAGCGTTTTGCAGGCAAATTTGCCTGCAATTTTATTTAATAATTTAAAATTTTAAATATTTTTAAAATAATTTATTTAAAAATTAATAGTTTTATTAATATTTTTTTAAGTAAAAATTCAAAAAAAAAAAGTTGTTAATTAGTGATATTTTAAAGATAAATATATGATAAATTATTATAAAAAAAAGTCAAATTTTTAAAATTATATATCTTGCTATCTATTAATCTCAAAAATATGAAAATATAATCATTTAATAGGTCTTAATAAAATAAATTCAACAAATCAAATTTTATTTTCTTATAATTATTTTTTTTTAAAAATATAGTAATGCTCATATTTATTATAAAAAATTCAAATCCAGTAAGTTAATACATAAAAATCCTGAAAACCAGATATAAAAGTAGAAAAATATAAATTGTATTGCCTAAAATATTCTTACAAACTAAAAAACTTACTAGCCTCAGACCAACCTGTTGTCTTGTCATACTCAAAAGACAATTATTAGTAAAATCCTTCTCAATGTATAACAACTAAATTATTACTATGCCCTCTTTTTTTTTTTAACAATAATTTCTATTCAAATTTAAATTCAATACAAAAACAAGTAACTCAAATTATTGTTAAACCAAAAAAAAAACTAATAAAAAAATCTGACTCTAACAAATTCTTAGCTAAATTACTTAATTAATTCTTAATTACAGTGACCTTTCAGTATAGAAGTATTTATATCATTAAAGGCTTTCTGATATTCTCAAACTTTCATGCTAAGATGTTTATTAATTCAGATTACAGCAGTCAGTAGATATTATACAGAGCCTAAATCACACAATTGCGAGAAACTAAAAATCTCACTAAAATTAGTAGAATCTAATGTCAAAGATCTAAAAAGAGTATAATTATTTAGAAAGGTAATTAGAAAAGTCATCACATGCGATTGGTTGATCTAAAGTTATTATTAATCCTGATCATCATTTGGAATACCCTCTGATGCTCACTTTTGTGAGTAAAATAAAAAGGAAAAATATAGAAAAAATAGCTAAAAGAAGTGGCAAAAAAATATTTTAACAAAAAACATCATCGTTTGGACTTACAAAAACTGTTTTTTGAGATAGAGAATTTGGAAAAAATAAAGATAAGAAGAAGTTTATTTGTAAAAAAAGTTTTGTTTTTTATTTGTAGGCTAAGCTATAATCACCTTGAATATATACATTTTTTATATAAATATTCTTGGTTAAATAATTACTAAAAAGAATTATATATTTTTTTATTTATTTTCTTATAATTATTAGATAATAAGTTATTTTAAAAATTGAAAAATTGAAAATTAATTAAAAATTTAAAATATTATCATTAAATACATCTTAATATGACAAATCTAATAAACTTTATTTCATTTTTTTTTTAAAATTACTAGATATTAAATATTTTAATTTTTTTACAATATTTTATAACTAATTTATCTATACTTTAAGGGATAAGATTTACTTAATAAATAAAAGATATTGTCAAATTTTTGAATTAATTTTACAATTGATTAACTTAAAATTATTTTAATTAAACTTAATGATAAATATAAAAATAAATTAATATAATAATTCATAATCAAATTTTAAATAAATAATATATTAAAAGAATTTGTATTTTTATAATTTGTAATTGATTTCTTTATTTAATACTTAAATTTTAAGATTATTAAAACTTAATTTATAATTTTAATAAAAAGATAAATAATTTATATAAAATTATAAACTATGATTAATAAATTATTATATCATAATTAACTATATATATTAAAAAATTTTTTATTATTTATTTATTAATAAAGTTACTTGTTTAAACTTATTTTAAATTTAACAAAATATCTAAACTTTAGTTTTACAATTTTTTATTAAAGTTTAAATATAATTTTACATTTTTATAAGCTTTAATATAATTTAATTTTTTCTAAGTTTTGCTAAATTTTATTTTTTTACTATTTAGATAATTTGTAAACCTTTAAGTTTTCTATTAATCTTATTTATATATTTTATTATATATATTATATATAATTTAAATTTTAAATTAAATATAAAATTTATTAGAAATTAAGTTTAATATTAATTAATTATATTTAAAAAAAATTAATAATATATTTAATTAATAAAAATAACTATTAATAACCAAATCAATTTTAAAAAACTAAGTAGATTTAATTCTAATATTTTTAAATAATTAAAATATTTATAATTAAATCATAAGTATAATAAATATATTTTTTTCTTACGTAAAACTTTAAACTTAAAACTTAATATAAAAAATCAGAAAAAAAATATATACAAAAAATAAAAAAAAAATGTATATTTTATAATTCTTTCAACAGACACAAAATTATAGACAAAATATATATTTTATATGTAATTTGTATATATAATTACTATTTATTAATTTATTAATAAATAATATAAAATTACTTTAATTTAAATTTATTTATTTATTTAATAAAATATAAATAATAATAATAAAATACAAATATTTTATAATAATAAAAATACTATTTAACATAATATAAAATATAAAAAAGAAATATAATAAGTAATATTTAAAATAGTTAATAATATATAAATGAAGTAATAAATTTACTATTATTAAATTCTTAATTTATATTAATACTTATTAAAACTTATTTTAATGTATAATTAACTATTTTAAAATCTTTAAAATAATTTTTAAATTTAAAATTAATTTAATTTATTAAATTTAAAAAAATCCTATTAATATTAAATAAAAATATTTATTATAATAAATAATTTAATTATTAATTTAAAATTATTAGAAATATAATAAATTAATCAAAAATCAGTCTAATTTAACTTAAATTTAATTAAAATTAGATATTACCAAAAATTAACCAAATTAAGTTTAACTAATTACTATAAAAAGTTGAATAAAATATTCTAAATATAATATAAATTTTAAATTTTAGAAATATACAATATTATAAGATATTTTGATTAATAGAAAGACACAAATATATTTGTTAAAATTAATAAAAATATAAATTTTTATGTATTAAAATTTATCAATAATAATTTTTTGATACTAATTTAATATTTAATTATTTAAAATTAAATTTTTTATTTAAATTTAATTTTTCTCTTAAATTAAATAATTTAAATCATTTAAAATAATTAAATTAATAAATTTTTTTAATTAATCTTAAAAATAAAAATAAAATAAATTAATGATAAAATCAAATGTTATTTTTGAAAAAAACTATATCAAGTAATTTATTTATATAAGTTATTTTATATGTTTGAAGAATTTTAGTTATAAATACTATCTAAAGTTAAAATCAAAATTAATTCAAAATATAAAATATAACTAAATTAATTTTACAGATTTTTTTAATATATTTTTTCATTAACAAAAAACTTTTTTTTCAAAAAAATAATAATATATCATAATAAAGTTTTTATATAAAATCTTATATTACTTTAAAGAAATGATATGATATGCAAAGAAGTTATTTATTATCTATTATGCTAAATAATATAGAAGTAATAGATTAATAGCTAAAAAAATTAAAGTTAAATCTAAACTAATGTAATATTAAAAAAAAAAAAAATCAATTAAAAAAATATAGCTTCTTATATTTGAAAAATATATAAAAGAAAAGAAACATATCTTTTAAAATATAAAAAAAGTTTTATCTTTATAGGTAATAGATATATATCAACTAGTAAAAATTATTACACAAAATATAATTATTAAAAATGCTAAATTTATACTAAAAATTATTTCAATCTTTTTGTTAATATTAATAATTTTAAATTTTCAAATATATAATTAAAAGATTTTATAAAGAGATTTAATTTTGCAATATATAATGAATTTATATTACATAATATTTTCAAAAGATTTTTTATAAAAATGGCTAATTTTATTTTATATTAAAGAATTCAATATATAGTTATTTTTCTTTATATTTTACCTTTTATATAATTACTTCTTCACTTTATTTAGTTC